CTTCTTTGGATGTTAAGAATCATCTTTTATGCAGCAAATACATGAAAAATCCTACATTTGTTAAGTAGTACAAATAATCCCACTTCAACAAACACCGGCTGAGTTGTTATGAGGTTTAATCCTGATTAGTTCTACTTCGGAGATGTGAAATTGTCCTCGTCTCTTAAAAAACAAAGCTTAAATAAAAAAATTCATGAGTTTTTGGGAGAGAAACGAGCCCAGATCATTACAGATCCTCTACCGTACTTAACAGTATAAGGTGATTTTTTTTTTTGTTACTCTTGATCATAATTTGTTTTAAGTAAGAACAATCTTTAGAGTTTGCTCCCAAAAAAGGTTTATATTATTGCAATGAAAGCATTTAGGAAACTCCCACAAAAGCATGTGTATAGCCTCTAATGGTGGAGACTTTTTAACATCAAGTCTAATAAAGGGAGCTTATTAGATTATTTACATCCCTTATTCATCTTCTGTGCATGGTGTCAATATAAACCTGCCAGCTAGTATCCAGTGCCTAAAGGAAACAGGCGTCTCACAGGATAACAACGACCCAGAAAGCCATTTTCACCTTCATGCTGACTGACTTCATTTGGCCAGAGCTGCAAAACCCTCATGAATCTTTGGAGAAATTAAACACCTGCTGAATAATATTGTTTTATTTCATGGTTAGAAGCGCAAATTTTCACTATTTTTAGATTTTAAAATATAGCAAGAATGAATATGAAGTAAGGAGTCATTTTTATATGAAACCTCTAGGCAGGGGGGGATTTACCATTAGGCAAAACTAGGCAGTTGCCTGGGGCCACAAGTTCCTGGGGGCCCCCATAAAACTCCTTTTACATGTATTTCTGCAAATTAATTGTTTTTGATAAAAATCCTTTGGCTAAAATGCCATCAGAGCGCTGATAATATTAAGTGTGTCTCAGCCCCCCCCTTCAGCATCCACCATATTGGATCAGTCCATTTGCTGCACATGTTCAGAAAGGTCCAAACAGACAGCAGCAAACCATTTGAAAACAAACCATGCAAAGAGCAGTGTTGCCAACTTAGCGCTTTAGCCGCTATATTTAGCCACTTTTCAGACCCCTCTAGCACTTTGATTTCTAAAAAGCTCCTAGCGCCAAATCTAGAGACTTTTTTCTGCTACTGGACACTTTGGAGACAACATCTAAAAGCAGCGAACTCTGCTCTCCAGAGCGAGTAGATTGGTAACCCCGCCTCCTGCTCTCCTCTATCTTGTCTGCTGTCATGATTCATGCAGCTATTATTTCATCCAAATGAAAAATGGAGAACAGATAAGCAGATCATGGCTTGTCTACAGTGAAAAGAAGGACTGGGTTATTTACTTTGGCCTTTTTGGAAACACAGGAAGGAGCAATCAGCTAAGTGAGCTTAGTGCTTGGAAAAAATCTTTCATTCCTTTAGAGACAGCATGAAAAGTCAGCTGAGTACAAAACATAGAGAGGAAAACAAGAAGAAAAGGGACAAGAAGAGAGGGATAAAACCTAGAACAGATAATGGATGTCTATTCTATTAACATTTTTCTATCTGTAGAATGGGGCTGTTTTATGAGTTGTCTTCTGACTCCAGAGGGCCCCTTGCCTGTCTTTGCCTAGGGCCCCACATTTCCTAAATCCGCCCCTGCCTCTAGGCAGATATTACACTGAAATACTTCAAAACCTGAAAAATGTTTCTTTGTTGAGAAATATTGCTCCACTGTAAATCAGTGGAGCAATACATAAACACTAAATTAAAAAGTTAAAATAAACCTTCAGTTAAACTTATTTCATAGGAATGGTTAGATATTCTAAACCATAACTTTGTTCTCAACAATTAAATTATATTTTTTAATTATGGTTGTGCAATAAAAAATGCTTTTAATTCCAGCTCCTTATTTAACTTTAACAGCTGTGCCAGAAATGTGCTGCAGGAGTGAGATGTTAAGAATATGAATCTCTAAATCTAAATAGATGCAGATGTTACATCCGTGTTTAAAATTATTTGCTACTTTTTCTGCTCTGTTTTTTTGCTCTAAAGATATATTTGTATTTTGCAGCTCATGGTTGCTTAGAATCTGTAAAAGAAGGTCCATCGATGTCATCAAGCTGCAATTTGCTTCATTTCTTTCCTGCTTTTGTCAGAGAAATGTTCCAGCTATAATCCAGTCGTCTCTGGATCCATGCATGGATTTGACTCGAGCAACTAAACTCAGACATTTCATGATCAACTCAGTGTCATCGCATTTTCCAAAGCCTTCAGTAAAACTTTGTCAGACTTAGTGAGGTAGTCAGAGTATAACCAGCCCTTTAGACCTTTTGCATATGTGAAAAGTCATTTTTTGCAACCCATAGGTGACGTAGATAGGAATTGTTTATGTACAAACTGTTTTAAATGTCTTTTAGTTAAGTTAATATTCTTCAAATTTGGTGACAATTGTTACTTTTTGTACATAACTTGAGTGTTATCTACCAGCAAGGACTGCATCTGCAATTTGGAGACATATTGGTTAATATTTTTGATTTTAAGCATGCATTTTCCCTCATACAGATCTCTGCTGCACATGTAACTAAAGTCAAGTTACGTGTCGATGTTTTATTTCAATTCTGAATAATTTTATTGTCACTGAGTCTATGTATTTGTATTTATTAATGTCTTAGCCTGAATAAATATGTTCAAGTGAGGCTGTTTTTTTTTTAAATCAAAAAGATTATCATCAGTTTCCATTTTAATTCTTACATCTACATGAAATGTTGATAATCCGACCATCAGCTAAACACTGTCGGATTTGAGGCAGTGTTGTTAATTAACACCTCGTTAAAATCTGCACACAAAATATAAAGCTGGTGTCAGAGAATAAAATAAAACTGAGAGCAGTTGAGCTAACTTGTCAAAAAGGGAACAAAGCTCATCTTATTGATTGTCACTAGGTTACCATTTGTAAACGTTTTGCTCTAACTGACCAATCAGAGGACAGAAAATGCTGATATGGGTGACACCGCTAGCTGGCAAAGTGGGGCAAATCTGAAATCTGATTGGTTGAAGAAAATATTCTTCATTAATATTGTTAAATTCAGCCAATATTGCTGATTCTGAAGGCCCTGTCGAGATTTGATTGACGTAACGCACTAACGCTGAAATCTGATTGGCCAAAAAATATATAGACAACATAAATGTAATAGAAGCAGCTCAGCCAAGAGAACTGCTATAAAATTTCTGAAAAAGTGTAAAGATGATCTTACCCATGGAAGTAATTTTTAGGGGAGGACAGGGGGACTTTTTACAGTCCAAAAACGATATTACGCTGCAGTACACAGACATTCATTGCACTAGGACCAAGGGGAAAACCGCAGGTCAAGCTGAAGCCCACTTCCCTGACTAGACCGCCCTTAGCTCCTGATTGGATCTCTGTCTTCTCTTGTGTGATTGGCTGTCACGGCTGTCACTCCTGAGAAGATCCCTTTATAAACATCTGATGCGCCACTGAATCAGGTCTGTGATTGAATCGTCAAACATCCTGAAGTTAGTTATATTCAAAAGTACTTGCGTCCCCCCCACTTCTGAAATCAAAACTTCATCCATGATTTTACCAGAGATGGCAAAAGTACTCACTTTCCGTACTTGAGTAAAAGTACAGATACTTGTGTTTAAAAAATACTCTGGTAAAAGTGGAAGTACTGATTAAACTTCTTTACTCAAGTAAAAGTAACAAAGTATAAAAGTAAAAGTAGAAACCACTTTTTTCATGCCGTTGCCTACATTTTCAATGGATGTCTGCCAATAGGACTAGATCTCCGTTGTGTTCATTTTCAATCATCTCGTCGTCCATGCTACTATGCTAACGCCATCGCCACCAAGCTGCAATGATTTGCCGCCAATGAATACCGCCGAATCTGTCGATTCATCTTGTAGTGGTGCGTCAAATGCAACGTAGATTCCCATCCAATTAGATTGAATTTGGTATTGATGACGTGAAAAATAATAACGGCAACTCCATTGAAATGATTCAAAACTAAAGTAACGAGACAATTTTTTAAAATGTAAGGAGTAGAAAGTACAGATATTTGCGTAAAAATGTAAGGAGTAGAAGTAAAAAGTCGCCATAAAAATAAGTAGTAAAGTAAAAATATCAGAAAAATCTACTTGAGTACAGTAACGAAGTATTTGTACTTTGTTACTTCCCATCTCTGGATTTTACCCATGACTTTCTGCTGTGAATAAGCATAAAGGATCCATTAGACATTTACAAGCTCCATTCATTCTTAAATAAAAAAAAAAAACATGTACTCAAGAAAAAAATAAGAAATAAATCACGTATTCCGCTATCTAAGAATTAATTTAAAAAACGGTCGTGCTTTTAGAATTCCAAACCTAGTGCTGTGAACTAGCAGTTTTTTGGCGATACCATACAATCACAACACTGCTGTATGATTTATCCCGATATATCATGATACAGTAACAAAGAGGACATATTTTTATAAAAATATAGCTCTTTAAAACTTAACGAGATGTTGTTCCTCAGCTGCAGGTGGTTCAGAACAGCTAAAAAATAGGCGCTTGAGTGATGCACCACCATCTAGCTGCTAGGCTTTTAAGTGTATATATAAAATTAATAAAATGAAACAGATGTTTGGTTATAAAAATAGTGATTTCCTATTTATTCCGTATTTTCAATCAATATCATCCAATGCCTTTTCATGATATTGGTATTTTAAATAGTTACGCATCTCCTCTAAAGAAAAATATTGCAATATTTTACAAATAGTTTCTTTTTTACCTCTATCTAAATCAGTAAATGTTTAGTGGAACTATTACAGAAAATAAACTTTTACTAGTGTATCATATGAGGAATAATCATAATATGCTGTTTTCTGTGGTGAACTATCCCCTTAAAAGCAGGAAAAGCAGCTCCACTGGCCAAAGATTTGGCTTTTTTCCCTCTTATCATACTCATCACCTTGTTAAATGAACCACAAAGTGATTAAAACATTTTTGTAGCTTTTATTCATTTTCATCACACTAGTTTAGCAAAGTTTATGAACATTTGCGCTTCTACATTTCTTTCATAGGGTGTCAAATAAACCCCCTTCTCTCCTTTGAGGCAAAGTTCAGATGAGTTTATATTCGCTGTCCCTCAAGAAATCCCTGATTGAGTTCATGTTACAGTGTTTAAAATCAAAACAATGACTGGCAAAGAAAATCAGCTCTACTGAGCGGTTAAAAAAAATCACAGTATTCCTCTCTTTTGGAATAAAAGGAGAGCTGACAAATAAGACGTGATTGCAAATATTTGCAAGTCTATATCAAAAAACTGATGATGTTGCCCGGAATGTGCTCTGACCCATGACAAACAGCTGAGTCAGTTGTTTACTATGCAACCTTGCTTTGGTTATGGCTCTTCCGCACTATCAGGTAAGCAATAATACACATGAGAAAGATTGCAGCCCCAACACCTATGAGCGAATACTCTGCTGTCTCCAACATCTGGATACGAGATAGGAGCTCTTTCTTAAACATGTCTGCTGTTTCATCATCCAACGTCGCCGTCTGGTAAAAAAGGGGAGGAAAAATAAGACAGACATTACTAATTTACGCCTTCAAATTTTACAGTATGTTGGGAAATTTTTGTCGTTGGGTTCTTAAAGATATTTAGCCGGTTTTCAGTGTGGATGTCTTAAAACTGTGGTGCATAAGCCACATTTTTTTATCTAGTTTTCAAAAACTGATTTTCCTTCTACCTTATTCATACACAACTAATGGTCCACCATATACACTACAATTCAAAAGTTTGGGGTCACCCAAACAATTTTGTGTTTTCCTGCAAGTCACACTTATTCACCACCATACGTTGTGAAATGAATAGAAAATAGAATCAAGACATTGACAAGGTAAGAAATAATGATTTGCATTTGAAATAAGATTTTTTTTTACATCAAACTTTGCTTTCGTCAAAGAATCCTCCATTTGCAGCAATTCCAGCATTGCAGACCTTTGGCATTCTAGCAGTTAATTTGTTGAGGTAATCTGGAGAAATTGCACCCCACAGTTTCCAGAAGCAGCTCCCACAAGTTGGATTGGTTGGATGGGCACTTCTTGCGTACCATACGGTCAAGCTGCTCCCACAACAGCTCAATGGGGTTCAGATCTGGTGACTGCGCTGGCCACTCCATTAGCGATAGAATACCAGCTGCCTGCTTCTACTCTAAATAGTTCTTGCACAATTTGGAGGTGTGTTTAGGGTCATTGTCCTGTTGTAGGATGAAATTTGCTCCAATCAAGCGCTGTCCACTGGGTATGGCATGGCGTTGCTAAATGGAGTGATAGCCTTCCTTATTCAGAATCCCTTTTACCCTGTACAAATCTCCCACCTTATCAGCACCACAGCAACCCCAGACCATCACATTACCTCCACCATGCTTAACAGATGGCATCAGGCATTCTTCCTTCATCGTTTCATTTGTTCTGCGTCTCACAAACATTCTTCTTTGTGATCCAAACACCTCAAACTTCAATTCATCCGTCCACAACACTTTTTTCCAGTCTTTCTCTGTCCAATGTCTGTATTCTTTTGCCCATCTTAATCTTTTTCTTTTGTTGGCTAGTCTCAGATATTGCTTTTTCTTTGTCACTCTGCCCTGAAGCCCATAATCCCGCAGCCGCCTCTTCACTGTAGATGTTGACACTGGTGTTTTGCAGGTACTATTTAATGAAGATGCCAGTTGGGGACCTGTGAGGCGTCTGTTTCTGAAACTAGAGACTCTAATGTACTTATCTTCTTGCTCAGTTGTGCAACGCGGCCTCCCACTTCTTTTTCTACTCTGGTTTGAGCGTGTTTGTGCTGTCCTCTGAAGGGAGTAGTACACACCGTTGTGGGAAATCT